CTTTGTTGACGCGTCTGAGATACACAATATAGCCTTTTTTTGCTCCTGTTCAATCTCTGTCTTCTGATGTTCATTCTGATAGAAAAATTTTAGTGTTACGTGATCCAAAGTATCGTATATACGTGGTAGAATCCATGTATACTCTGCCCGTTCATTTTAAATAACATCAAAAATCATCGTGTTGATACATGGTTTGTCGTCGTATTGATATCCATTTAGCTTGAAAAATCACCTCTGAGTCAGGATATTGGAGTAGAAGGTTCATCTACGCCGTATCACCGATGACAAACAATTTTCACCACTATACGTATTATATTACCCTCTATATATAATATATATATATATACCACTATACGTAATATTATTGAATCTCCTTATCATGGTGAGCTCAAAGCAGTGATCAACGTGTTATCTGGGCTTTCTTTATGGTAAATGCTTTACTGAATTATAAATAGTTTCGTGAATGCTTTACCGCTGAATGTGCCACCTGCGTTAATTAATAGGCAATCGCGAAAGGTCGATTTTATTAGGCGTGCCGGCATTGATAATCGGACTAAAGTATGGCTACCGATTCAAGAAATTTAAGACAAGCTGGAAGAAGCGAAGAGTCGCAAAACAAAGTAGATGAACGAAGCAGACACTCGTTGCAAGGTCGGAAATATTAGAACGTTCATCTTAATAGTACTCATAATTTGCCTAAGGTTGGAAATATCTCATAACACAATCTTGATTTTGACTTAAGTTTGAGTCTAATAAAGATCATGTGGAGAAATCAAAACATATTGTTGGAAGAACATCGGAGGGGTTGCCCGGAGCCCCCCTTTTGAATTCGCGCGGGATCCAACAACTCTATCGCATCTCCACGGGTAAGTATAGGCTTGCCTTCTGGAGCGTGCAGCGTGTTGTGCAACATATATTTGATTCTGCCAAAACTTATATGGTTGAAACACAACGAGATGAAACAATAGAAGGTACCAAACCGATAAAGTCACGTGATATAGGTGAGTTCGCAGAGCTGGGTTCGCAATCGCATGACCTTTGTGGAAATGACTTTGCTGATCGCAACGTAGGATGGGGTACACAATCAATTCAGTTGAAAAAATAGGCACTCAGATTCGGTAGGTATCTCAGATAATGTCTTCAGCATAAATCACATAGAGGACCAACTTTTGATTAGTAGACAAAGTATGGGCAAAGCGTCCACAAAGATTAAGTTGTAAAGGGATCTCATACAAATAAGGGTATAAATGATCATATAAATGATACTGTGACAGTGAGAAGAGTAAAAAACTTGATCCGTCGCAGCTCGATAAATAAGGAAATCAAGAATCTGCTGTTACGGCCCTCACGCAGGTGCATAAAATGTGCTCATTGTAGCCAGTTTGTATAGAAGTTTGAAGGTGATATTCCTCAGAACTGTCGTAAACACTGATCCTGCAAACCGTTCTTCACTAACGATGAGAGACTTCTAATGCGATATCCAATTGATCAATGCGGCATCTATATCACCCCAGAGGAGGCATTTACATTGCGTTAGTGAATTAGCAAATATTATCACGTCATTGCATGACACATGCAAAGGTTCTCTGAAAGCATACGAAGCATCCACTAACCATCACACTTCCACAAAAAAAGACGAAACTATTATACGCGAAAATCACCCTTAGATTTCCTACATACGATTGCTTTGGCCGACTTATGAAAAGACCAACCGAATTAATTGCGCCGAAATAATTCTATCATTGGAAGGTTTTACTTTTGAAAAGCGTCACGTTTACAAAACCTGTAAGGCGTACTTCCTAACAGCGATTTAGAACTAATATATCAATCCACAATGTTCCTTGTCCAAACTTTGTAAAGCAAAAATCTGGGAAGAAGAAGCAGCAGAATTCGTTAAATTGCATCAACTTGTTACTTTATATTCGAAATTAAAAAGTATATGGAAATGTCCTAAGAGGCTTCAAGAGAACAATACAGTTACAAGATAAACGGAAGAATACAAATGCAGCTATTTATGCCCGTAATATGCGTATAAGCAAATAAAGTAACATCTAGCTTTTAAATTTCTACATCTTAAGGGTTAAAAGTTTGCGACGAGTTTGTGGAGTAAGCTAATAAATACATTAAACTATCGATATATAACTCATTCGTGAATATAGATTAAGTAATGTAGATTTTCGTATAGGAAATAAATATTGTCTGTTTACCTTTTACGGTTCGAATTTTTTTCTTTTGTGCAACCAATTTCGAATACCAATAAATATAATACAGGAATACCGCATGGAAGAAATGGCAAGGTCTGAAGGAAACCTACGTCGTAGGCCAGGAAACGTGTTATAATATTTTTTCTATAAGATATGGTATAATAAAAAAAAACGTTGAGCAATCCAGCAATAGAGCTATTCTACAATTGAATTTTCCATTGTCCCATTCTATCTTTCCTCAAACCACTGTGATAAAATGAAATACTGTTTATGGTGTCCACAACAGCGAATACTCCGATTGTTAGTTAACGACTAGCTAAGGACACTTCACGACTTAGTCTTTAAAAAAAAACTAAAAAAAAATATAGACCTACCTAAGTGTCTTGAGGATATGTTTCACAGCAACAACTGCCTAATATCTTATATCGTTAATTAATATTACAAGCGTTACGCTTAATCAGCCGAGTACGTTCCCAAGACAATCACGCATTTTCTTAAAGTAACAAATGGCTCATGTTGGCGCCGTTCCATATGAGTACGAGGGCAATATGAAGGAAGGAGAAACAGATTTGTGCCTAAATGCGTTATAAGGACAAAAGTATCCGCTTTTCTTGCATCAGAAAAAAATTAGAAAGGCAGTACAGCACTTAACATATATAAATAAATAAATAATATAAAAAAAACAAGTGGACTATGAAAGTCTCAACATTTAGTACGATAGTAGTCTGATTGGTAGAAATATCATGTAACGTATGCTTTTGTTAAGGATATTCGTTTCAATCCTTATCATAGACTTTGCTGAGTTCGAAACACTTTGATATTATTTGGCGCTGTGGAGAAATGCTCCTATATACAAGTCATTCACAGCACCCTGAAGATTTACCCATTACGATTTGCCTTTCTGCACATCGCTTTTGGTAAGCGCTTTAGGTAAAATGTGGCCATAGTATTAAAAATTTACAATTCTGGGTAGAGGCGAGAAAACCATACTAAATATCAACAACGTTATATAAAGGCGTACTTTAAAAGGCAGCAGGCCCGTCAATGAGATAATAGGCAAACACACAGGCCTGCTACTGCAAATCAAGCATTGTCGATTGGATCCTAGGCCTGGCTACGGTTGTTAGCTTAGTTTTTGGGACAGTAGTAAATGGTGAAAGTAATAGTGTAATCAATTAGTAATGGCATACAATAATAGGGCCTTAGGAGATAAATAAGAGTGTAGGAGTACTATCGTTACGGGATACACATATATTGGTCATCAGCAAATTAAAAACTCTATTTATAGCTGACGGCCTTAGAAGTATAGTTTTGAGATAGATTAGTCCGTACCTGCACGTGATTGTAGTTTGGATGAGACTTTATTCCACAAAGCGTGAAATTTGTACATAAAAAAAAGCAGCTGTGTCCTTTTTGAACAATGTATACGGCGCATGGCGAAATCAGGCGAATTACTTTTGACAGAATTTCTCCGGACTCCCCGAAATAAAGCTCACACAACTCGGACATAGCACGTTAGAGAAAGCTCGAAATTCATTATTTAAGATTTAATATATTCACTCAGAATTGAAAGGAACTAGAAATCGCTCATTCAAGTCCCGCCAACGACACACATTGCACAACCTGCATAAATACAAAAACTTGTTACATATTCCATAGACAAAGGGCACAAGTGCTGAGTAAAATAGTGAGTTTCAAACTTTCCCCAAAAGAAACATTGGATCATAAAGAAGACTTGCAATCATGCGTGCTTCCCTGTGTAAGCTCGATCCCATTAGCGACCATATCGTCGGACCTGGAGTAGGATTTTTTTCGACGTGATACGACATATCTAAAGGCTAAAAGTGAACATATAAGCAAAATATAACTTATGAAACTTCTATTCAAGTATAGAGCTTGTGCATTCTTCTTAAAAGATTCTTGAAGCGCTTTTCTGTTAGCATGAGATAAAGTAATCATCTTATTCCTACATTTTTCTAATGTTTTTTTTAATAACGTTTTGTTTCCCACTTACATTCTTATACGATGTAGTAAATATTTTTTATTTGGCTATACGTGTATATATATATATATATATATATATATATATACGATTTATTTGGCTAATAGTGATGAGCTTAATCAGTAAAGACATTCAAATTGGAGTCCTAATGACCCTGTAGACCTGTAGGTAAAGATGTCTAAAAAAGAAAAAGGATTTAATTCGCGTAACGAAAAACACGGAATAGTAATATTTTAATGTTCCTTTCTTATCTTTTTCTTTTTGCATTGAAATTGTACTCAAAGTGTGAACTGAAGCACTCAGTTCTTTTGCTTCTTTCAGCTTCAGGTTTTTAACGGCTATGCCGCTAGTCGCTATACGAGTTTCGTTTTTACTTGTTCAAAAAAGTCGATGAAAAACACGATGTTAATAACACTGATAACATCAGAATATGTTTTACTAACTGACTGACCTCATCATTCCATATAAGACCTATTATATTTGGCTTAGGACCTATACCGGACGAAGCAGCTTTTATGTTTTTCGTAAGATAATAAGATTCGTAGGATTGAAAATTGCGGGCACAAAACGTCTATATACCAATAATTTGACTCAATCAAGAATAAGGTACGTTCTACTTTATTTGATATACATATTAATATTATTCGACAAATAATTGATCCAATATAAAGCATCTTCTTTATTCCTAACCTTGTGCCTTATATTTCAACACAACTATGGGAAATTCATCGAAGCGCACCCGATCGCCCGCCAGAGCTTTTTTTAGACGAAGAGAACAAAGAAGAGCAGACGATGCGGCTCCAAAACAAATAGAACAGCATGTATACTCTGATATTTTGTTAACAAACTGTTTTTTGCTGGATACAATTTGTATTCTACTCCCAAAAAAGAATATTTGAAAACGCACTCATTGGATCCTATGAGAAATTTTACATGTAATGACATTGTCTCACCGTGAGCTTCACCGTCTTTGACTCGCGTCACTTTTAGTGCTAGAATTGAATATATATCAAAATAAAAAAAAAGCATATCAAAATGTCAGGTGAGATTTGCACGCCAGGGATGCGCATTTGCGCCCTGGGAGAAAAATTACTTTCGGGTCCTGGAACTTACGTCTTGCAGGGTTACATTTACGCTAGTCTGACGGGTGTTATGCACATTATCAAGCAGGACGATGGCAAGAAATCTCTGGTAGAAGTGCGCCGTTCACTGGGTCGTCTTTCTGTGCCTTCTCCAGGTGCAGTAGTTACGTGCAAAGTAACAGCAATTAACCAACGATATGCTAAAGTTGCGATCTTGTGCATCGAGGAAGCCGAGCTAAAAGAACCATTCCGAGGGGTTATACGCAAGGAAGACGTAAGGGCTTTTGAAAAGGATAAGGTCGAAATCATTAAATCGTTCCACCCAGGCGACATTGTGCTTGCTAAGGTACTGACAATGGGTGATGCAATGAGCTATATCTTGACAACGGCTGAAAACGAACTTGGAGTTGTTATCGCGTTAGCTGAATCATCGGGAATGCCGATGGTACCTATAAGTTGGACGGAGATGCAGTGCCCTAAGAGTCTGGAGAAAGAATATCGTAAGGTAGCGAAGATCGTGCCCACCGTTAAAGAAATCTAGATTAGATTGATTAACAAATAAATAAAGCAAAATCAAGGTTTTCCGATGGCTTGGGATTTAGGCAGTGATATTCTATCGAATATCTTTGAATGATGCGGTGTATTCTATCCGTCAATCCTCCAGTATTGTCAAGTGTTTTGTTTTTCCATTAAATATACGTCGAGTAAAAGTAACGTCATTTTTGTGTAAATATGGACTAGTGCCATCAAATTACTATGTAGAAATTTTAAATTGATATTGAATTTATGTTGCTAGATTAATATGATAATAAGATGTAAACATCACAGATTCCAGATTTTGTAATGAAATAAAACAGACAATTGGTGCAAGCTGTTGTCTAAAGTTATTAGAAGTTCATTTTCATTGCTGAATAACCTTAGGATCAAAAAAGGTAATCGACTATTAGATTTTCATTACAAAAACATGTCATCATTTAGCAAAAATTGACAAACCAAAAAAATAAGTTTTCCAATTTCCTAAAATCCGATGCATTAACGGAATAACTTCAATGAAGTAAAAAAAAATTATTACGGCATTCAAATAGGAAAGCGGAATAATTTTAGCAGATTAAGCAATCACGTTTAGAACAGGATAATAGAATAACTGCACCAAATTAATAAATTGGCTGGCTTAAAAAAATATGAATACTTTAACGGAAGAGTTGTAACAGGAATTAACGATTTTAGGAGAGCTGCAACCGGACGTTTGTTACGAAGGTATATAGGCCACCGTTTAGATTTGCTATATAACAATACCTTATGTTAAGAGCTATATGCAATACGAGTCAAATATTGTAACAAGCTGACAAGTACAACGTAACGATAAAGTTGTTAGAGTATTTCAATGGGAAAACAAGAAACTTGGAGCAAGAAAACTACAGTGAAATGCATGTTGCGAATAAATTGACTGAATCAGCAAAATAGAATTATTGTAATAGTATAGCAACCAGATAACGGAACTGGTGTTGCAGAACTTCAAATAAGTTTCAATGAGCTAACTGCAGGGCGACAATCAAGCTATAGTTTATGCTTTGCTAGGCGTAGCGTGAATCATCTTTTATCCGTTGGTAGCATATGTTTATCTATAGGGTCAGTCTTTGAAATAATCCCTTTGAAGTTCGTTTTTGTTGAAAATCTGTTATACATGCCCTCTATAGACTTTTCTATACACTTTTTATATATACTTTTTTACAACTTTATACCTGACATAAACTTTATTTGAATAAGATTAAAAAGAATTCCTCTGACCAACTGTTTATGTAGTAAAGATATTTTGCTGTCCTTATACATAGGTGGTATCTTTAAGTGAAAATAGTGAAAACTCCTTGGTTCGTATCGGTTTATCGATGTGAAAAAATAACTTGAAATGCGTTTTGAACTACTTTTGAGTGGTCTTTTAAGTGAATATTAATAAACATTAATAGAAGAGCCACGGCGCTAAATATCGAGTTCATTTTTATGAAAAATCAGCTGATTCATTTTTAGAAAGAAATATTTTCTAAGTTGAACGATCAAACCTAGTTATATTTGCGATCAAAATTTTTCGAGGGCGTGGGGCTTTTTTAAAAAACGTACTTAAGGCGTGTTGTTTTTAAGAAAGTGAAGGTACAATTCCTGCTCCGTAATGTATACAAGAAAAATGGAAAATTATGTAAATAAATAAATAAATACACGAATGCCTCAGTGCGTTCTGCAGAAAGCAATTTTACATCACTTCAATGTGTCCATTCTTGGCTAGGCGCTGCCTAACGCTTACAGTAAAACATGACACTTGGAGCTGGATCCGCGTAGCGATCCATTCGTTGTTCATTTTAACATATCATAAACAATTTTAAGCATTTTAGGGTTCTATTCGCCTAGGCCCATTCAAGGTAAGATATTTTACACAACCTCTACATTTACATAATTCGAGTAATTCCAGTACAGTTCACGATTTTTGCCTGAAAAGTAATCCCATTACATACCGTAACGTTTTTCATCCAAGTGAGCCGCGGTCGCAAGGCAATTTGAGTACAGATCCCAGAAAGTCGGCGAAAGCAAGTTTTGGTGACCAAACGAGGCTGTCGGACACAACTATGAGTCGTCGAGATGATTTAAAAACTCGTATCACCATTTTTTTAGATACCAAACTTCAGAACTTATACATGCCGAATGTAAAACTGTACTTCTGGCGTAATGGGGGCAAACCATTGTGATATTGTGTACTGAATAATTAATTGCGATTTCTCTTATAATTGCTAGATAGATAATTTATTTGCGATAGAGGCCAGTATTGCCTTTAGACGCATATATTATCATAACACATTGCTTTAGAACTTGAATTGAGACAGTTTTAAGATTGGTAAGCTTGTTCACTAGAGATAAGCTGCGGGAAGTTGCTAAAAGGGTGCACAGCTTTGAGCAGCTTTTCTCAACCTTCCATTAAGAGTATCGATCAGTAGAGCATATAAGCGACATGATAGTGTGTTTTGAAGTCGTTTATTAGATTTTTTGATTTGAGTAATATATATATATATATATATATTAGTTTTATAAATAAATTTGAGTCTTCCGTCAGGTAGCGTTTTAGGTAAATATTATTAATGATGGAAATGTATGAAACGGAAATGCAGTCATTTCGAGCTATGTCTGATGTAAGTAAATTTTACCAAAGATTAGCGAATAGTGTAAAGTGTAGGTTTGGTGTTATGGGAATTCAAGAGCACAAAAGCGAAAATAGATGCTATTTTCGAACATTCGACAATCGCGTTTTAATAGGTCAATGCGCGCTACGAATCTCAGGCCGCAATATATATTTGACACTATAAATCTGTTTTTATGGTTACTTCAGTGTTTCAGGGGCTAACAATTTTCTTTCTCTAGTAGTTACTTATTCTTCATTATTATAGGGTTTGTTCCGCTGTGCATCGAGAGATATCGTTTCAATAAAGTAAGAGAATACGAACAGGAAACTTTTCATCCTTTTGAACAATATTTTTAAAGACATACAATCGTGAACCGTTTTCTTTGTAATGTTACAATAACATATCGAAAAGTGGATTTGCCAAATTCTAAGCGCGGGACAGTAACCCTTAATTTTCAAATATAAACAACAATTCGGCTAGCGTCAATCATCTATACGAACATAATGACATTTATTAGTGGACTTGTAGTAGAGGAACGCATCATAAATATATATGACTAAATAAACATAAATATCATCGCGAATTATAATTTCCTTGATTCTACATGCCAGTCTACAAAGAAAGGCACAGTGGACGGGCTAACAGTATTAATTTATTCTGGAAAAATGAGCAATATGGCGTTTATAACACATAATTTCAATTTAGCAATTTGCTATTTTTCCGCATTATATATATGTATCACCCTGCCACAGCTCGTTCCGTAAATTTCGCTATAAAAGTGTATGAAAGCTGTAACAGAATTTGGAGCACAAACTGTGGTTACTAGGTTAAAGTGACAAAAAAGTAAGCTCCTTGATGACCTCAAAGTTTTACACCTGCTGCTTCAAAACGGGTTTGAGACGATAAAGATTGGATTATGAGACCCGCCATAAGATACTCGGCGAGACTTTTTAAAACTAAATCTATTTCATTCACGTCATTCCGGAAGATTTGAACATCAAGATACTTATTTCTTAATGATACAATGTTTCAAAATCTACATATTTCTTAAGTAATTGTTTTCAGACTGACCTATGTCCTTTTCATGATTAAAAGAAAGTTCAGAAGGTGTTTGCAGAGTTTACTTTGTAGCTCTAAACTGCTGTGAATCTTACATTGGTTGCAACTCTGAAACACGCAGAAATGCTTCTTAATAAAAAAAAATGCACGACTACACAGTTACGTATAATATATTCATGCCGGTCCTCTCATGAAGAGGTGACATTTGGCTGTGCTCTCCTAATCAGATATCCTAGGAGCTACGCTAAATGTCTGGCCGAATGGAATTCATAATTGTTCGGTTTAACCCTTTTCAAATGAAAGTTTTTGTTTGTGCGTGATGCTTCTAAAATTATTACAATTTATTAAAACAAATAGACGACTTTTACTTAAATCATCAAACAATCGCAGTACGATAGAGTATATGTTCCACATACTTATATTGGATCTATTGTTTCCATAATCAATATAATGCCTGAAACTGTAAAGTGCACACATAATTCTTACCTGTTCGCCTTTCACGCTTTGTATGGTAACCTTTATTTGAAAAAATAAGGCTCTATCTATTCTTTCAACTATCGGACATGAGTTCAAGAACTGACGCGCGTAAGCATATTATTCCCCCATTTTGAGTGTTACACTCACCGTGAAAACTTGTTTCTTTGATTAGAGGTCAATCTGTTAGGTTACTCTAGGTTTGACAAAGTAAACCATTACGTGTAAACGTGTGGAATATGTCTAGGTGATCAACCCAGTGTTGTGTACTCTAAGCCTGGATTCATGCATTTTTTTGTAAACGAATTAATATGTCATGCCCTTGGTTTCAAGCGCAAATGTGATATTCTAGGTAGTTTGCGAGATGTTTCAGAAAAAAATGGTGAACTTAAATTAATAAGCTACACTAATATATAAATAATACGGTATGGTATATGTGCAACCAATTCCCTTAAACACATTGGAACTTCTCGTCCATTAATAGGACGTTTTAGTGAAAATTTACTGTATTTCACAGTTGTGTGGAGCGTGTATATTCGAGCGTGATTAAGAACAGTGATTTCAGCCTTTCCCCGTGCAAATCATTTGCGTCATAAAAACATGCAAAAAAAATCTTATTGGATTATTAATGCTGACATAATCTCTATACCTTGGGTGCTAACTATGCATGCATCTGTTACTATATATACAGCTCACAATATTATTGTATTTCGTCCAATAAATTTTGCTGAGCTTTTTTATCTACTCACAAACAAAATAAACATTGTTAGATATTTATGTATAAAACATATTTACAAATGCATCAAAATTACAAGACGAATGCCGTGACCGTATTCGGTGGGATATTCGTCCCGATATACGAATACAGATTATTCAGGCTTGAAATTTAACATACGTCAGCTTTTTCATACTAGCATTCTGTCCATTTCAGTTATAGTACAAGTAAGGACTACGTTTGTAACAAAAATTGTAGGTCATTTGAATCGCATCTACTCTATAGAAGCACTTCTGTCGACTTACAATGGCAAAGTTTATACTATTCCAGACGCATTTTATAGTATGCTCGGCTATTTATTACGATAGATACCTAGAAATAAAGCCTCCATCGATGGAATACATTTTCTATCTGCAATAGTATGATTGGAGTGTACGGTATCCATCGATAACTCAATCAAGTTAATAACCTACTCAAGTAACCTTTGGTATTTTTCCCTTTACTTCCCCCTATCCTCTCCTAATACAAGTCGCAATTCCCCCATTCTTCGTGTTTCTTCTGGCTGAAAGTTTAACAGATATGGTTGGTGGGAGTGCAATTGCCACTAAGACTGCCGAGGAATAGCTTCCCGCTGGGTGCACAGATGCAGAGCGGAAATGCTAATACTTCCGCTGAATTTTCCGAGGCGTTGTTACTATACAAACTCGTTTTTTCAATGGAGGTTGCTGCCGCCGACAATCCGCTTAAACGAATATCCGAACTGTCAAAGTAGATCTATTGGGAGAAATAACAAAAAATTGAGTTTAGGTGTCGGATCGGCCAACCAAGTGGCCAAGAAATGTGTTTTGTCATTCGTAAAGCTAACCTCGTACCGGACTGGGAATATCTTTTACTCATTACGTTACATTATTATCCGGCTCGCATATTTACTTTCTGTTTGGATATGCTGGTTGAAATGGGCTCCAATACTAACCTGATCTCGCGAATCAAGCGTAAGAGTATCATAGGCAGCCAAATAGATATCCCCTGCGCGGGACTCGACAAGCACAGGCCCCGGAGCCTAAGGATCAAATAAGAATCGTACCTAGAATGTTTAAGTACTTGCAAATGTAAGTTTTTATAGGAAGCAACGGTACTTTTTAACTGATTTTGCTCATTGACTTCAAACTACTAGAGATGTAGGTGCACATAAATCTTTAAATAATAAAGTGTTTATAATGGCACCTTCGATGCGTTGGTTTGGGCAAAGTACGTAAGAAATGACAGCTGGGTGAGTCAGACCTTTATTATATGAATAATGTTCTGCATGATCTCTTTATTGGGATCTAAAATTGAGTCTACAGCCGATTTTAAAGATCATGAAAGTATTTAAAACTCTTTTTGCTAAGAAATAAAGGGCCTGAGCTTTTGAACAAACCTGTACGCCAAGCCGTGCCATGGGACTCTCTATAAGCAACTCCTCGCCACTGGTAATTTGTGGGGTCTGCAATGATTTTTCCAAACGTACTCCATTCTCAACTGAAATCTCATAGGGGCACAAACGAGAAATCCAATGAATCGCACAACGTTTATTAATATCATTCAATAATTAGTAAATTTTGATCGAATCGTTTCCCGTACAAAAGTTTATAGAGTGACAATCGCGTTAATACTAAAAGTAACTACCGTGAACAGTAGCTTGTTTGACGTAGAGTGTGTCATTTGTAACGCGTAGTAGGAGCTCTTCGCCGGAACTGAAGACACTGAAGTCGTCGGATTTGACGAAAAATTTTGATTCGCCCACAACAACTTCATTAACGATTCCGTCGCGACTTAATGAACGCAATCGCACTTCGCCTGCAGCGTTAAGTACGAGGGAGTTTGTTTTTTGGAATGGATCCGTATATGCCTCTTCCCACTGGATGCGTACAGGTATTCGTGTGAAAGTACATAAAACGATGAAAAGGTCAGTAAATACAGTATAAAGTAACAGCGCGGTTTGGTTGGCAAGTGCATCGTACCTCAAAACTAACAAATCATACCTTGGCGGAGTGCCGTATATAGTTAGTATAAATCCCTCGAAGGAAGTGTGCATCAGCTGTAAATTTGACGGACGATTCATCAATCTTCAAGTGAGCAACTCCGTCCATAGAGAAATGAAGAACTCTAAAGGCAATGCCACAACAAGAAAAGCAAGCACTAAAATACTTCTCTAAATATTATCCAGGTAATGGCGTTTCTAAAAATAGACATCGCATTTATTGGATGCAACAAAATGAGTATTACGTATATTGAGCATTTTTTAACGTAAAAGTGTCATAAACACAAGAGTCCAATATGTTAAACCATCTTGCGATATGACTAATCAACACTAAGCTAAGTATTTGTGTTAAATGTTTTTTGTGCAATGTGACAATAAAGTTTCTCCAACAATAAAAATATTTAATTGATTTTAAATATGAATAATAACAAAGGGAAACAAATTAAGGAATGTTTTCTACTTTTTCTAAATAAATCAGCTTAAGCCTTGTAATAGCTTGCAGTTCATAGTACGAAAATGGCATATGCACCTTATTATCCATAGCGTGAGAAGTAGGTTTGCTACCAGAAGCCAAGATAGCACAAAGACAATCAAGTATAATAGTTTCTTTCTCCAGCCGTAGATGCCTAGTTGGTACTCACTGGAGGACGTTTCCTGCTGGTATAACATGTTAGTGACAAACAACAGCGTAGAGCAAATGCCTGTTATTACCTGTCAGTGCATTTTCTACATTAACATTATTTTACTGAGCAAACGCTGAGCTTGGTATATACATCTTCCTAATCTTCTTAATAGTATTTCTGTGATTAATGGATCTGAAAATTCGACATTTTTGAGTGCCTCAGGACCTTTCTATCAGGGCCTACTTGTCCCAAGCAAGAACGCCTAAAGCGGTGCGGCATCAATCCGACACGTCCACTTTTAGGACGTAAATTGTACGTCCCATTGCTATGCCGCTCCGCTTAGTTGTTCGTAGGAGGGAAGGCGTAACTGTCTGTGGAATAGTGACCATAACCTGCATTAAATGCTTGTTGTACAATTATTGTCTGTGCAATACAGTATTATCATAGTTTTATCATTCTTCGTTAGTCATTTATAATAAAAATGAAAAATAATCATATTCCATCTGAAATATAACCATGAAAATAAGGTGGAGGGGTTGCAGAAAACGCTAATTTATAATGTTTTGCATATATTTCGTGATTCCACTATACTATTAAAGATATTAGTAGGTTCTTTACGAGAAAGCTTAGGCCTATTTTGGCTAAAATCATTGAAATCTACTTCTTTTATACACAAGCAATAAATAATAGAAGCCCGCAGGGCATATTTAGACTGAGATTGACAAGTTCAGCTTTTGCAATTTTTGCGACAACAGTACATAACAAAATAAACTTCACTGTTTCGGTTTGGCCAACCCTACGTTTTCTCCCCCTTTAGCCAACTTTCGTTGTGTTTATATTGCAAATTTTCTGAAACTGTTTTTAAACTGGCAGAGGTATAGGAAGATTCTCAAAGTATATATATATTTATAAATCGGAAAAAAAACATTGATTTATACTCGTTCTTACACAACTCTCTGTCCGTGCCCATGTTCATTCACTATTTGACTAAGCTTTGAAACTTTAATCTTACAAATTTTCTCGAGACATTTTCTCAGACTCTTAGGGATACCAAAAGAATTCAAAAAACGTTTGCAACTCCAGATTGCATGACTTCGGTTCTTTGCGCGTAAATCTTTTTTACGACACATGTGTATGGTACAAAAATGTATATAGTATATGTAAAAGATAAATATAGCGTACAAGTAAAGCTTGTAGTTTCAAATTTTGTCAAGCGATTTCTTCAAATGCCCTATGTATTTGACATATATGCCTGGAGTCATATATTGGGTAACAAGGCTGATTCGTCTCTTCTACGGCGATTCAACTTCAATATATGCTTATATCGTGTTTCACACTTGTCATTTAACTGCGACTGCCCATATATTCTTTCTTATTATACGTATATAAAATACTATTATGTAAGGATATTTCCTTAGTGAAATAACCAATAGATACCCTAAGGCCTTAAACTTTACTCACGAACATTGAGGAACACGAACGCGACGAAGCTCGGTGATGGTTGAGTTCGATGGCGAGAATGGCCTGCGAGGGCCTCTTTCCGAAGTCCCACTGATCGAGGGAGATCGCCGGTGGAGAGCGCTCGCGAAAGCTCGATGATCGCATCACTACGGACATTGTGCTGCAAATTGCGTTTCTTTCACGGCGCTGCAACAGCGGCATAGAGGCACAGAACCACAGTCCAGCACACAGGCATATCCAACGCCACCAAGGAAAATAAGAAAGATTTTGCTACTGAATTATCTATCTTCCTCTTATCGGACCGACGCACGCAACGATTCCTTAACCTAATTAGAAAAAACTAAATCGAAACAACTCTAACAAAAAAGGGTGGTTCTAAGGTCAGCAACGAAAGAAGCGGTCTTTATCCTATAAGCCTTGTCTACTAAACACATCATAGCAACGCTATATATATCTCCAGTCCCCTGCCAACAGATTATCTGAACACTATTTTTTGCCACAGTTATCGGTAACGTGCCTTACAGTAGGTTTTTGCCCGTTCTCTACAGAGTTCTGTATTCGGAGTTAACATATTGCATTTACGTATAAGCATATAGAGGTCGAATGAATGATCTATTCAGAACACAAATACAAACAGACGAAAAAAGGCCGCACAATTGGGCCAGCGATAACATCATCACTACACCAGCCGCTCTATGCAAATTTACCTATTTTCAAGATAAAAACGCATTATCAATGCGTTCTCCGTCACTTTCAGTAGTGTTCCCTCGGTCCTCACAAATGGCCATCTTGCTTTATCTAAAAATATTCAATATACTTATTAAAACATTTGTCACATTTTAATAGATGTTAGAGTTTTACTTGGTCTTCTGCTGTAATGTATTTCATTTCGAAACGGATAAAAATCTTTGTATTTCAGCAAAACTCAATTGAACCATCACATCCCTTTCTTGGGTAAAGATTTCTGTTAGTGGTCCTGTTTTTACCAAAGTTACATATTGATTAAACGTAAAGACACACACAGCATGTTAAGCACGCTTAGTTTTTCATCAACGTTGTTAGTGGTAGCGGACGCACGCAAAGAAATCGCTATCTGCACTACGTCACACATATATCGCTCGTATGCTATTCACAAGTTTACTTCGTGTACATACATAGTTCACTGGTCGTCTCTCATGTGAATATACATATATGCAGAGGTTTGTTGGCTCACTAGTGCGTTATGACAAATCGTGTCTATTCTAAACACGCACGTTCCCTACGCTAAATCGTATATCTAATGGCTATATAATCGAAGAGTAGTGAAACAGAAGAAGTAAAAGCTCTTTCGATAATATTTCTTCTTTCCGGCCAGGCTGGCGCCGTTGTCTTTTCCTTCTCCTTGTTAGTCGTTCAGTCGCTCAGATTTACGTTATAGTAGACAGTTTGCTTCTTGTTTATATTGGCATTCATCGTCGCCACCAGCTAAAGCCGAATCAAACAAATGCATTATAGCGAAGTGCACCGCAATAGGCGCGCCTAGCCTGGGGCAGAAATAACAGTAGGTTTGTATCAATGTACTCTCACCCGTAAAGAAGTCAGTCTCCGCATTACTGACCAGTGTGAGCAGCTTAGGGGCTTTCAGTGGTGCTTCGGTGAGTTTTTCAGCATTTAGATGTACAGGTGTGCACCAGCTGAACCATCTGCTTTTAAGTGGAACGTACACAAACTACTACAAATGAGGGTTTACTATAGCGTGCGCTGGCTGCAGAAGTTGATGCAAACACGAGAAAGACATTAAACAACACCTTTGATCCTTATTCTTACCCAAACTTGATGATGAACCTGGGCGAGTTTTAATGAAAACGTACACACGAAACGTAGGAAAACGGTCAGAAATTCAACTAACTTGACGTATGTCTGTTCAGTAAATGAGCTGGGGCGATAATGAAAACCGGGTACAGCTTAGTGGGTAGTGGGCCGGCTTTACAAAGAACAGGTAAGACACAAACTGACTCACATAGGATGTCTAGGTAGACTGAGACAAAGTGAAAGCACGCTGGATGTCTAGACTGAAGGACATTTAGCTTAGAAACAAATCAGCAAACAATATATTCTATCGTATAGATTTCTCAGCTGAGCACTACGATTCTGACGCTGCGCATACATCTTTAGCGGACCAGATGATTTTTATAGCTGTTATGTATCTCAAAAAGTTTCATTATTAACAACATTATGCGTCTTCTGTATAAGAACGTACTTCATATGTACATTTTACCATAGCATACTCTACACCGCTTATTTGTTGAATATAAGTGCTTCATAAAGCTTCATTTGGCTTGATCTATTTCATTGTTAGTACAGCCTCAGCCCTGATGATAGGTAACTATTGACTCCGGTTAGATTGTGATAGCTTTTAAATATCGCAGCGCACATCCTGTTAAGGCATTACTCTACTCACTGTCAAGCTGTGCCTAGATGCCCAAAGTTTTAACGCGTACCTTCTCAGCACCCCAGACTGAGCTAGTAACATTCTTCTGACCCGTAACTAAGAGCTATTAATTAATATCAGAAATGTAAGCCTGGTAACTTTCCAAAATTTAACCCATGTGTGTATAAATGTTAACTACTTAACAGAGCTTATTGATCAAAAAAATGAACGGTTTATAGAAGAAATTAGACCTCTTATTATAGCTTCTTACAGCGTACCTGATAACTGCGTTAATTTTTAGATGATAATATATATAAATAAAATAATATGTATACAGTACCAATATAAATCGCAGACGGTATGATACACTTGAGGCAATAAAAATTCGCCTTGGTGTGAAATCGACTTCTCGTTGTCCTACATCATTTATATTATGATGATATGATATCTAACAATAATAATAACACAGTAGATGTTCGTGATCATAGTAGTATATATGCATCATAGAGAAACGGCTAAAGGTTTAATTATATATATAATAGTAAAAAAATATATATTAAAAAAATAAAAGGAGATAACTAAAAAAGATAGCTATTAAATACAGTTTTACACCTGAAAAAGACGTATTCATTTGATTCGAACTAGTTTAGAATTGCTCTGGCCTAGCTAGGGATTACGCTCATCTTTAAGTGATTTAATTACCTGAACCATCACCGATGTGTTCTCAAGGACTTTTGACTACTGCGCGCAGCATGTCCAAACATCATATTGTATGTTAAAAAAGTTTAGCTTAAGATAATGCTCCAGCAGGATAAGTTACGGTAATATGCGGCAATATTAATGTTTACGACAATAGGTGACCTTAGACCCTCAATTCTGGATTTTTCCATAGAGACATCAAGCCACATTACAAGACGCCTCTAGGGATTCAGAAGGCGTCTGCTTCAGCGTCTCTAATTTAGCGGTTCATGAGGAGCAATGTGGTTCCTGTATTAGAGACGATGGCTGCTTCTTGGAGCTCGTTACAGCTCGTTAAACTATGCCTTATTGCGTGGTATTTAAGCATGCTGTATACATTTCAAAAATGTGAAAGCGTAGTTACTTTTCGTACAACGATTTTTCTTTGCAGACTATCTACGACATTATACGTATTAGTTATTTCGAACATTGGTCCAAATTGTCACTAACAATCGCGAACTCATCAAGAGAAACCAAGTAAATGAAATGAAATCACCTCAGCAAGTGATCACGCTATATTATCATCAGATGTACAGAAAATCGTACTCACGCACGACAGGAAACATGCACTTAAAGCATGATCACTACAATGTATTTGCATACCTAAAATAGATATCTTCATTCTTTGAAATAGCATGTAAATTGACTTTAAAAAGGTTGTTAATATTAACTTACATAAATCTTAAAAATACTATCATTTATTGCGAAATGCAATATTAAGCTAGGCTTTTTACGTAACAGATGCCGTGAAAATTGTAAAAGTTCATGAACGTCATACATAAGAAAGGGATATTTTTAATCATAAAGCATTTTCAATCAAATAAAACTTCTGGAAAAAAATCTGTCAAAAGTTTTTCCTATTAGAATGTTACATCTTATCCTAAATCTTATAAATATCAGGAATAATAGAAAATTTAATTGAGGACACATTTTACTGTCTAGGAACTAATCGCAGTTCCCGATTTTTTTTTAAAGTTTCCTGTATTATTATAGAAAATATAAGCATACGTGAATAAACTACGCGTTGACCGTATTAGATAACGGAGTTTGGACCGTCAGTAACCTACCGGATTGCCAGAAATTGAATAAATAAAAGGTAATATCTCATATTCAAAGCCAAAGATTTACTCTTAAAATTATGTCCGATCAATTTTGGGACATATGAAGGTACATTTGACCGGTTGCATCTATATAATGGTCAGCCGTTTTCTTAAGATGCAATTTAAATAAGCGAGATAGATGTTTTCCGCTTCGATCTGGGAAAATATTTCGACTTGTCCACTAGGCAGTTAAGCTGCGTGCAGCTAGATGACCAAACACTCTGAAGTAATACAAGTTCCAAGTGTTAGATAAAACAGCTAGAAGCAAAGGTATATGTAGAATGCATTAAAGGAAACTTGCAAAAAATACTTTCTAAGTGAAATTATTTTACTCTTTTTTACGGTGCAGTATTTCTTTCTCAGTTAGAACGTTCTTTTACATATAAAACAACAGGATTTAGGGATCGCTGTGTCTCAGTCACCTTACTGGAGATGTAAGAAAAGTTATTTTTTAAGCTGGGCTATAATGTTTGCAATAGACTTAGTACTTAATAGCAAAAACCTTTTCGTACAGATTACTTTTTATTGACCGCATGATACGATCGAAACGAAATTTCCACCTCAATTATCATATTTAGTTCCATATTGGCCTATCCACACCTTAGTTAAAATCCTCTAATTTTGTACAATGACAATAACTATGTGCTTATTCAAAAAGCTATGACATGCACATTATTACCACGTGACTTGTAAATCAAATAGATCTGCCAGTCACAATGTGAGACGCCCTCACCAAAACCAATTGAAACGCAACGATGAACACAACTGATAAAATGACTGTTCCATGTTTGTTTGCAAGAACTGCAGGCAACATTTTTTCATCTTATCCTTTGGCCTCTATGTCGTTCTACGAAGTTTAAGTAGTCTTGGGTTCTTCAGAGACCTGTTATATAATTGTAATAAATGTAAAAGCGGGTTCGACTTCTAATGCTAAACGTTCAATGACACGATTTGGCAAACTTAACCCACGAAAAGGGCTCAGAGCAACTACGGAAGGCGCAAATTTGTGAGACTGTCAGCTCACGAAATATATTGTAAAGTAGTGACTTAGATAAAGAATCATTAGAGTCTTAGCAAGAAATCAAGCCAGTCTTTACTCATTGAAAAAAAAACTGTATTTTTAATATAATTATAAAGATTTAGCTTGTTTAAAAGCAGAAATCTAAAATATTCTGACACACCGCAAACAATAAATATTAACACATGCTGATTTCCAGATAGATGCAGAAAAAAGAGCAATGATTCGCAGTATCTAAATTCGTGCGTTTCTTATATATCATATAGGATTGTTGAAAAGGTATTCACTGTTTTCAACAAAAATTGAAGAAACTATTTTCTCTGTTTTGCAACATTATTATTAATCTAAGTCCGCGCTATTTTTATTGATCAGCTTCTGCGGGTCCTGTGCAAAAACTTGTGACAAATACTTTTTGCATCCCATTGATACTAAATTAACATCATTAAAAGAGTTCTGCGAAGGCCGAAACCGATAATGATAGTCCGTCGGTGCAAGAGAAAGGATATATGGCTGATACATTAAAATTTTCTAGCCTAGTTTTTTCAATTTTCGCCGGATAGTTAGAGACGCGTCTAATCTAGAGTTTTCACAGTAGAAGAGATAACGCTCTTTCTGTCCCGTAGTTTTGGTCGATTGTTTTCAATGGCTTAACGTAGTTATTTAGTCGCTGACAAGAGAGGTCGGAATTAATATTATTGCTAAACGGCACCAACTCATAATGCACGGCAATCCCAACATCTGGGTGTTGCCACAAAAAATTGTAGATTTTTTTTAATTGCAGATTGTTGTCGCTTCTAATCCACTTCTTATCACAACCGTTTTAGAAATAGCTCGATTTCATTGTAAAGTTTAGTAAGTAGAAATACCGTTCAGTAATTTCCTTTGTGTCCATTGAAACGTCAAGCTTTTTTGTAGCTACCTCCTTTCAAACAGCTCAAGACCGTTTTGGTGGAAATTGTTTAGTTTCTTTAGCAATACCCCAGCTACTCACGTCGGTCCTGCTCAACTTTCGCAATAATTTCCGACAACTACCAGAAGCATGTTTCATATCAAAATTTTCACAACGACAGAACCCTGTTTGAGCTTAAACAGCACAGATCATTCTATGGGCCTGGGCGGTATTCGTGCTTTCATCGTAATAAAATTATAAAATATGGCGAACTGGCAAAAATTCCGCTCATTTTCAAGGCGCCTCATTTTAAATCTGAATATAGGCATTTTAACAACTTTTACTATTGTCAAATCAGCTTTTAAATGAGTTCAACGCCGATCTAACGCAACTCATAATACTTGAAATATGCGACTTTAAAGCTATCTAACCAGAAAAACGGTCAAAAATTTTTCGACACACCATGTTTTTTTTCGAGGTTGTACACATGACGATCATTATTGATCTACGGGGATCTGACACTGAGTGAAAATTCAAGTGCACCCGAGCTGACGACAACGTTGGCAGATACGGGAGTTCTTTGTGTAAGTGTTCGCTTCACAAAGCTTCTGCCGGTTTAGTTTAGATTAACGCAAATTGTTTAATCTCAGTTTGTTTTATAATTATCTTTATTACGGTAACCGTGCTGAAGTCATATTGAATAGGATGTATTCAGTTCCACCGTCAACACATACATTCGTAGATATCGACGCACAATGAAGAGCTGTGCAAATTAATCGTAATAAACTGTACTATAAAGATATGTTGATGTTTTTACTAAAAGAAGTGTACTGTACTTATAATCACTACCTATATCATATACTTAGTAACTATTGAAAACGTAAGCAAATCAAATGAAGAAATTCAATCGTAGTCAGAACTTGTGTTTAAAAAACCTATCTTACTAATCTGATAGAAATTGGAATCGCGTTCTTTACTGATACGAGGTATCAAGACGAAATAAGAAGTAGATTCAAGATCGGGCTCCCTTGATGTCTGTCTACCACCGTGAATGCTTTTGATCATCCACATGTTAACCACCACACATGGCTATTGAGTGCATCCTCAAGACTCACTGCATCGAGGTTTGTATTTTTAAAGTAATTCCGCGTTGCTCCCTACCACTTCAAAAATAGTTGAAACTTCCCATAGATGCTTGTCTTTCTAAAACATCAATACCATTGCCCTGTGAGGCATCGTCGGAAGTATCTTCAATTCGGGCTTTCAAAATAGCAGTACCTTGATATAAGAATAAATAAATAGTTATCGCCATATTTTTCTATACCTCATCCATTTTAAAATTGTTCGCCTTATTTGTTTATGATCGTTAATAAGCGCTACTTCTCGGTCGTTTCGTCTTGAGTGTACCATTGAAGAGGTAGGCAAGTGAACCTGTTGGTTTAAATCTCCCGCGGCATCGATCACTGAAAGCCTCCTCGCTTTCTACAGTAAATACCCGCCTGTCGAACCGGCTTCAATGGATACCTTCTTAAATTGGTTTCTTCAAGACTTTCATTAGTGACTTTAGTTTTGGTGTTGGCTTGTTGATCCGCGCCTCTGGCATCCCCCGCCTGTGGAATCCCCATGGCTGGGGGTTTGTCTGGAAGCGTCGTCGAGGGGCGCGGTCAAGGGGTCTGCAACAACATTTCGTGGAGGAGGAGGTGAGCGGCTTGGAAGAGGGTGTTGCGACTGGCAGTGCTGCTGTCAGATAAAAAATCGTCGAAAATCGAACGGTTATGAACGCAAAGCAAAGGGTATCCAAACGAGTCCGTATACATCCCAGATATTTTGTTATTGACCCCTTGTGGTTTGTGCCTTCCTACGTCCCATAGAATCGATTGGAAGGCTAGACTGTAGGAAATCTAATCTCTAATTGATTATGATTGTATACTCATAAGACGCCTTATATGCTAAAGTATATCGAAATGGAATTCAGTTAAAAAGACCTGTTTTCTTTGTAAAAAAATTGTAATCGAAAACCGTTGAAATGTTTCGTTAAGTCGATTTTGCATGTAGACCAGCTATATATTTCTTCAGAGGTAGCAATCCAATTTTCCTTCAATTTTAGCTCATATTTAAGCATTATGGTTGTGTCCAAAACATTGTTTCGAATTTAACTATTTCTACTTTCTATTCTTCGCTCGTTCATTTGTTCGTTAACCAAAGCAGCTACGGTTATGATCATGGGCGCACTCGCATTACCGTTGCCGTCCGTTCTGTTCCTGACGCTTCAAATCTTCGCGCGCCGGCAGCCTGACTTCTCCGCCGTGCCCTCTCTTGAAGGCGCTCTGTCTTTCCAAGATGGCTCCTACCGTTGTGTTGGATGAAATGACACCAAACGGACTGCTCCTGTTTTTGGTGGAGTAGGAGCAGCAGATTGTACGTACTACGACGGGAGGGACAGAGAGACCGACCGACCAACAGACTTAGGGATCCTTGGTGCAGACGATAGGCTGCCACAGCCGACCAGCACTATCGGACAGCAGTACCAGGGTGGCGTTGTGAGCAAGGTTGTGATGGTTCTACGACGGCTCCACAAAATAGATACATACACAGTCCGAACGGAGTTGCAGCAGTAATCGCATTAATATCAGTAGCCGCACTCGTTATTATCAACACCCGATGCACGCTGTAGGGGAGCTGCGGAGCCAAGACGTAAATGTGAAGTATGATTACATCTGTTTCAAAATTTAGCGAGTGTGTCTGTGTATATGTGAGGGATTTGGTTGAGGCTGTCGCTTAGCTGAATAGAATCGAGTCAATGCTCTAGCAGCGTTGGTTGACGGCGATTGAGAAGCGGTAACCACGATGAGATATTGTGGAGCATCAACGTTCGACGCATAAAACGCAAACCTATTCTTGCAAACGAGAACTAGTGCTGTGAATCGTCTTGTATCCGTGCCTGTTATACTCGAAGCGCCGGGCAACGAGCTGAAGTTGACCAGCCTACAAGCCAAACAAGAAGCCAAAGCTTTTTTCTATTGCATTCCTCCGATTAGCCCCACTAACTACCACAGCGCCATAGTCAAGCAGTGTCATCCATCACGGGGGTGCAGTAGCTGTTAAGAGAGCTCGGGTGCGTGTCCGGACATAGCCCGGTTGGGTCGAAGAGCTGCTACAATCAACTCTCAAGCAAGCCAGAACGAAGTTTGCGGTTACTGAGGATAAAGGAGCTAGCGGCCGATCGAGAGTGTGGTGTGTGTGAGGAGCGATTTGTGTATGTTGGTGCGAGGAAAAGTTCGCCTTGTGTTGCATCGTATGTGTGTTTTGGTATAAGCACAGCGTGTCTGACCGTCCGTCTTTTCACTATCAACGGCAGTACGTAGCACAAACCGAAGCGGGATAAAACTTACTAGGTGAGAGTGCATCCTTTGTTTATATTGCTCCTCTAAACAGCTGTACTTTTCCTGCTTATTACGGGCGTGAGGCGCGGTTGCAGTTGGATTTTGTGCGTGTGTGTACGTGCGTGTTTGCCGACAGCTTCGGCTAGAGGAGTTTCTAGAAAAGGACCACGATATGAGCGAGGCCGGAACGCCCTAGCGACGGCCCCCCGAACGTTGGGGCGGTCAGTCCCGGGCTAGGCAAACGTTTTGCAACGGTGGAGAAGAAATTATGGGCGCCCAACAGGGCAAGGACCTACGTCCATCGGGGGGCAGTTCGTCGTCGTGCGGTAGTGCACCTCGTTCATCAAATCTCAAACGCAAAAATAACAACAACAATTCTTCCAGTGCGGGCCAAGGCGGAGGCAGCGGGAACGGCAGCACAGGACGGCTGGAGCAACGACTCAGCACGCAGCTCAATTCCGCCAATGTTTTCGCAGAACACAATGGTGAGTTAGTTAGTTAGTGAGTCAAAGGAAAACAAGGAAAGAGAGAGAGGGAAAGAGAGAGAAAATAAAAACGAATGAGTGTTTTTTGTTGTCAGACAGCTCCTTGCACGCAGATTGGTACCCACCAAACAATGTTATAAAAGCGTTTCGTATGTGGATGGGGTAACTGGCATGGGCTTTACCGCAAGTGAATGTATGGAAGAATAAGAACGCGGTGAATCTATAGAAAATACCGGAGGGATATACCGGTAAGTAAAAAGGAAAAACTGGGCAAAATTAGGGATACATAGAGCGTAAACATGCTTTGTTGGGCAATCACTGGGAGTGTAATAAATTTCTTGGGTCGAAAGCCACGCTACTGGGTTCATGCTATCAATTCAAATGAGTTAAGTAGCTCAGAATAATAGTACAGCCCTCTACCCGTATTGCATGACCTGTTAAAAATGTTTTTGTCGAAGAAAGTATATTGTCGTTATTGTACTGGTTAAACGTAATGATAATCTCATGCGTCCGCATAATTTATATGGATTTTCGAAAATTCATTGGCTGAATATAGGTCACATCACGCAGTTAGGTATATATATCATTGTTTATGTATTCTTCAGCTCCTCTCGCATGATTCACTCTACCCGGGCTTTCGGTTTTGTCTCCCCACTTATCGTGTATACTCACGGCATTGTGGGTGTTCGAATCATACCCTTACTCGAAATACTCTGCGATCGACTCCATCGATAGACGATTAGATCTATATCCTTCCCACTAGTCTAGTGCTTATTTCCCACGACTAGGATGCTAGCCAGCACCCAGCATGTGCATCGATACCTCGTTTTTTTTTTTCAAATTGTTCTTAGCGCGTACTGACCCGAGCTGTATGGCGGTAAGCACCAACAATGCTGGAGCACCAATAAGTACCAACGATAATTGGCTGTCGCGGTGACGGTAAAATCGCGTCTCTGCCCTTCTGTAGCTCGGTCGTTCCGAAATTGTCCTGTTGTCGCTGATTCGTTGATGGCAACGACGATGGTGCCACCGGTCGCAAATGTTCGTTGCCGTAGCTTTGCCGTCGCCGTCTAACGATGGTTTGTGCGGAAGTGCCCTCATTTGCAGCGCGGTTTGCTCCACGCCGCTGTCCGTGCTGCTGCTGTCGCCGACAACGATGTCAACGCCGGTTGTTGTGGCTGTCGCAATAGAGACGAATGCGGCCCTCCGGCCAAAGACGGCCGCAAGACAGCATGGGCGGCAGCTCGAGTTGCCAGCTGTCAATGACTGTCCTACAATCGGTGAGATTGTTTTGGTTGCGGTGCTGATAGCCCTGCTGCTAATAGTGGTTCCTATAACATCGTCGTCACCACTCTGCTGCTAACGTTGGCGAAAAAGCGCTCTCCTCCATTAATAGCCGAGACCGATCGAACGTCCGGCGATTATATGGCAATAATAACAACCAACATTGCCATCAGTGCGCTAGAAGAAATAACGATAATGTTGTAAATATTGCCACATGGATTATCCATACAGACATTGTGAAGTTATTTCTATGGCCGCTAATACTACACAAGTGCTATTAATCATACATCTATGGTAGCTCGACTTGATGTGGTAACTGGTACTGCCAAGCATATATAATAGAATTATGTTGATGTCGCGTAGAGTTTCTTCACCTGGTCACTCGATGCTGCGACTAGCGCTAAAGTATGGCATTGCTTTAGCATCGTATCGGCTAATACAAATTCATTTTCATGACATTTCACCGTCGAGGGTAGCAGCAACAGCTGTCACTGTAACAAAAACGGTAATAACACTAGGCACGACATAATTATTCTAGGATTTGTGTTTACACCTTTCGCTTTTTGACCGTGTTTCGGATCTATGATGTAAATTCTCGACTATCTCCCTATGAATTTTTAAAAATGAAACTATATTGTAAGCAATAGTCGAATGAGTTATGTGGCACTAAGTAAACGAGCTTACCACAACTATTTCTGTAATGATAAGCTGTTATAGAAGAAAGTTATTTGATAAAAGAATGTCGCGGCTTAGCAAACATCACCCTTTATTGACATTGCTTCGCATGTATTCTGTGGACATTGTTACACCTTGCCCCATGCGAAAGTGACCAACTAATTCTCTAAAAGTTCGGATCGTTCACTTCCAGACGAGCCTATGCGCGCCCGTTCCTGTCGCTTTCGCGTTCTTCTCAGCGTGGCTATTGTTTCGATATCTGACGAAGATGGCGATGGCAGTTAGCTCTTGAATTCGATCACGTATGAACAACAATAACTATCCATTTTTCCATATTCTCTTCGTTTTCGCTATGAATTCTATGTTTTTACCGTGCCATGTCTCCTTGATTATTAAAACACACTTTTTGATAACTTCGATTGCTGTTGAACCGATCATTGCGACCTGATGTTAGAACGGTCCGTCTTCATTCCCCTTTGCTCGTGTTGTTCGCATTGTTATAAACGTTGCGGCTCCGCTGTCGAGCATCGAACACTCTTAATATGCTCACGAGCTTTTTACGGCTAACATCCACTGCTATTCAACACTTTATCGTCGTGTCATAGCTGTCCAAATACGTACAGCAGTAGTACGAAGAGTTGTTGTCGATCTAAGCAATTTTCCCGCAGTGTACCTTCGCATCGTTTAGGTTAGTACTATTTGGGAGCAGGAGATGGTCGCCATGTCCTGTCAGAATATGTTTTCGTTGACCCATTCGTCGTCGGTAACGGCCATGTGAGATTAGACGACTACATAGGGATGAGATGAAACTGCCGGCATTTCATGGTGACGGCAATTGCTGCTGCTGCTGGTTTTTCGAGTTTGTGCCTGGAGCATCGCAGGAGCTTGGAGTTACCTGATCTGCGGGTCACCACCGATCGCTGCACGCCCAGACCCGCCAGACGCCAGGCAAGCTAAAAGTGACACTAGACTCGGTTTGGCGAGTGCTCGATCCTCGAACCGGCCGGTCATTCGTTTACTCGCTTGAACCAACACATTGCTATCAGCATCCCAAGTCGCTGCTAGCCTTCACCACAGTCAACCATCACTAATCGATAAAACTGATCCTAGCAGTGTCTTTCGTGGACTGAACCTCTATAGCAGCAGAAGCAGAGGGAGTAACAGCAAAAGTTTGCTCGGTTGCCGACACTGGTTCTGTTGTATTATCGTTGTCGAAGTTGTAGGAAGTCGGCCGCTAGTCAACGAGGAGCCGCCATCTAGCTAGTCAGCTAGCGGCAACTACGATGCTATGATGACCTGGCCAGTAGTACATAATATTGGCGTTAGTGACCGAAATATTTATTCAAAGGAAGCAGAATAGTCGCCGATGGCGGGAAAAGGTACCAAGCGGGAAAGCATTATTACGAAATAGGAACTATAAAATAAAGGTTTGAGTTTCTGACATTAAATTCAAAGAGCGATCGCACAATGGGTCCGCGGGGTTTGCTACTGGTAATTGTGGCGTACTGTTGCTAGGTGTAGCTGTTACTTATATTGTTCTTCTTCAAAAGAAACAGACAGTAGAAGGAGGACACCACAATGAGCAGACGAGCATCACTCTACATGGATCGGCCGGGAGGCACAATAAACAATCAACAACTTGCGGTAATATATATGTGTAATAAGTCGGGTTTGTACTTGTGCTCAACATAAACTCATGGGTCGATGTCACATGTAGCTAACCTAAGTTTGAGGTTCAATTATGGATGAAAAAGCTAGACAAACCATTTTCTATATACGAATTGCCAATGTGTTTGCTTTAAAATCGGGAAAGATTGTATGATGATTGGGCCCGAGACGTTGCTATTTAAGAAGATAAGGTCACTTACAATATGCTTGTATTTATCAAAACAGAACACGTTAAACTGCGTTGCTTTACCCGATAATGTGATACCTCGGATACGAGTGGCTACAGTTGATGATCTGTTTGAAGAGCCAAAATAGATGTTTACACTTAATAATAATGAGTAATAAGTAGATTTAGTCAACGCATTTTTATTGGCATTTTCTCATTCATCTTTTATTGGTAAATGTGCTAATTGCTATGTCATTTTATCGCCTCGAGTTGAACGCACACATGAAAAGGGAAGGTTCCTTTGATGACGTAGGTTGCATATACATGTACAGATTTTCAGAATCTCTCTAACAATAAAAAATGGTCATCGTAGTGTTAACGTTATGGTGATTCATATTATCGTTATCGTGGTCTTTTACAAATCTTCTGATACATGTAGGGTTACACATTCTCGTCCACAAAATCTGGATATTGCATTCTTCCTCATTTACGCTGGCAGCCCATTTTATGAATTTTAATGTCATCCACTTCGATTTTTGATTGCTTGTGAAATCTGGTCATTCAGTAAGACTAATCCAACGTCCAGCTAAAATATTGGAATCATTGTGTGATCTCTAATACGCTCTTTTTCGTCGCTACATGGTCAACGTATCTCCCTTCTGTTAGCAATATAATATAGCCTTTCATTAAAGTCGAGCATATTTTAGAAATGTGTAGAGAATACCTCTCATTTTAATTTGTTTCACTTTTGATTGCTATATTTTTCTGTAGATTTCTTAGCGGTTTTAGAAGTTAGTTTCGTGTAGTTTCTTTAGTATTATTATGAGGCTATGTCACAATTGCAATCTTTGTTGTGAAACAGATGAAAGCCGGTTCCACGAGTTTTTTTTTAATTTTGTTCATACCATTCGCGTATATTATCTGCACGCCTATGTTATCGACTGTTTCCTTATAAGTATTTTTAGTCAGGCGTCGTATGATGCCGTTACTTGGGCTTCTCTCGGCCAAGATCTGGAGATGCCGTGTACCCCTTGCACAAATTGGGTCGGGCACGTAGAGTAACGGGGTATAGCATAAATATCATTTGAAGCCAGCAAAATGCAAATGACGATGCGAAGAACTGTTGTTCACGGAAAACTATAGTCTCTATTCCACACCTTCTATTCCAGTTTGCAGTGTCTTTCCATTAAAGACAAACGTTTTCTCA